CCATGTATACAAGGGACTTCTTTTGTTACCAACGCCTGAAGTGTCTAAGTGACGCTATTCTCTCTTGCCAGTCTCAAGCGTCCAGACGTGTTAATCTGTGCCTGTATAAATTTCACTTTTCAAGGCAATCTGGACTGTCTCGGACTTTACATATGCTTGGGTAAGTTAATTATAGTTTACGAGTACCTAGAATGATGTCTGTAAAGTAGTCACTGCTGTAGAGAGATCAGTATCGGCTGTGTGACCCCACTTAGTTCGACCGTTCTTGATCGCTAGAGAAGCGGATTCGAACGTAGATCTGCCACTGTACAGACTAAATAGTTTATGCCCTCAATAAACCACCCATACTGGTAAAACTTAATACCCTTACAAGTATGTACGTTTTAAACTAACTAGAGAATCTGTACATACCAAATGGGGCCAGAATTAGGTCGGGACTGTGTCGTCCATTGTATGAGTATGGTTGACCCAGATCGGTGGATGGTAAGACGGGCGGTTGGGAAAGCTAGTGAATGCAGGTACTGACAGTAAATATTGGTGTCTGTGTGCAGAGTGAGGGGGAGAGAGAGAGTGATATATGTGTTAGACCACTTTATCTATCTCCACTGTATATCTGACTTGCCTTCTCTTGCACTAAACAGACAGATAAATATAGGAGACTTATGTCTTTTGGTCTGGAGAGGCAATCTGAGGAATGAAACAGGAGAGCAGGGGGGAGTCAGCAGATGGGGGTTGATGACTGATGCTTGCTCTGTCTTTCCTGTCAAGATGTTACCCTCTTGGTGATGACTAATGTTGAGTTATTTTCTTGACAGGATGTATCTTTTGTGAAGAGCTGGCAGAAGATTCACAGTCCAACCAACACCCACCAACCATCAAACCACCAGAAACAAACTGTTACCCACCAGCTAACACCTGTGAAGGTTCCTGACATCTCCAACATGTGGGAGATGGTACCTCAAACAGTCTACCAGTGCTAGAGCCTAGGGTGGCTCAAAAGACAATGTGTTCTAATTGGTGATAGAGACTTACTAATTACCAGTGCAGTATTGTGTCCTCTATGGTGAGGTACTCTCTGACTAATTGATCCAGTGGAGCAGAATTCCCAGAGTCAAAGACAGTCGAATCATCCGGAGCTGAAGGAGGCATCATAGACAGAAAGGACAGAAGCTAAGTCTGATGCTCATTTGCTGTTTGTTTCCTCACAGCTCCATTGTTTCCAATGATGACATATAGTCACCTCCAGGACCGGCTGTCTATATAGTGTCCTTAGGATCTAGACATTAGTGTTGAGATTCTTTCACTGATAGCTGGAATTCACTTCAATTTTTTTATGTACAGATATTATACTAAATACATGCATTCATTTTCATGGCTGACTTAGGTTTCTCTATGTCACCTTCTTAAGTGTTTAGCAGTTGTATGTGTATGTATCTTTATTATATGTGTTAACATGGTTATGATAATGAACTATCATAACCTGGGAGCTTTCTTTAGTAAGTAGTGGGGGTGTCCAGCCAAGTGTGCCTAGAAATATTGTATTTATATACTGATATATTTTGTAGTGCCAATAATTGAGTTGCCCTACTCCAGAGATAATTTGAGCGTATATTGGCCACGGGGAATCCCTTAGACCAATACGAGCCAAACGACTCAACATAATTATCTCTGAGTGCTGTTGGTTCTGAAGGAGAAATCCTTACATTAGGCACGCGACAGGAGTGATATGTGACAATCTGTATCCCTACTTTATGTTATCAGTGCCGAAAAGGGGCAATGAATAGGGCACTGAAACAGAAAATAACTGCATCTGAAATGCGCTGTCTCCGCAGTCATCAACAACACAAAGAGAGACCGGGTTGCAAGTATCAGCATTAGAGAGATGTCGGAATAAGACCATGTCTGGATTACACTCGCAAACAAAGAATGAAATCGTTCAGCCATCTAGTAAGAATGCGGAAAGACCAAACTGCATACTGAGACTGTTTACAGCAGAACATCTGTGAGGAAGGGGAGATGAAGGCCAAGATAGAGGTGGATAAATGGTGTAGCTAAAACCTGCAAAAACACATTAACAAATTCATTACCCAAGCCACGCGAGAAGCACAAGACAAAAACATAAAATCTCAACACTGGGCTACAACCTGGTATAAATTAGATGACAACAACAGAAAGAAGAATAAGAAGTAAGAATGGTAAATTATTTGAGCTTTAAGAGCATAAGAAAACTCACAGGAGAAAATATTCAAAGGACAGTAACTGCGCGGGCTTCTGAATCCATGCTTGCCACTCTGCACAAAGCATTCGTTATCAGTTAGATGTTATAGATGCAAACAAGTTGTCTGTCCTTAGTACGACTGACTGAATGAATTCAGATTTGATATAATTAAACTAGAGAGCCAGCTAGCGTGAGGATCGGAAAGTCATTGGTTCGGGTCTGTCAGAGCCTGACATTTTTAAATCATGACATTGGCTCTCATGACCCAGCCTTGAGTGGGTACCAGGTACAGTCATGGGAAGTAAAGGCGGTCAATGGGATGACGACCACATCCTATTGGTCTATACACTTTAGGTATGCCCTATTTAGCCAATATTGGTATGGGGCGTTGCAGGTCGACCTAGCCTAAAACGGGTACCAAGATGGCTGTCCTGGGGAAGTAAAGATGGCCGGCGTAATGCTGACCACATTACCCATCCAGTGCTGATTGGTCTGTACAAATATGGGACGCTCTGACCGTATGCTTTTTTTTTTTTTTTTACTTTACCTATGTAGCCCATATGCCTGATGGCGTGAAGAAGTGCCCGTTACTTTACTTCTTATAACTACGCTAGGAACATTCCTATAATGGTCGTGGTGGTGCTTTGCTCAAAAACAACAACAAAATAACACAAATCGTCACGTTCAACCAGCTTTGCCAAAGGGGGAGCTTTAGGTTATAACTGTGACTAGTTTTATTTGCGCCGTATAAAATGGCTCGGCAGTCCACGCCTCCAAGAGCCGTGAAAAGGACTCTTGCAGTATTGGTGCGATCAGAGACCCAAATACTGTCATGAGCCAATGGTCGAACCGGTAGCCGAGGAATTAACACGAGAGTTCCTTTGCGCTCGTATGCAGACGACAAGACGCCACCATGCTGATAACCAATCCTCCACTAAAAATAGCCTGCCCGTTTATTCTTACGTGTACCATTGTTGCGGTAAAATTAGGGCAGTACCTGAGGTTATGACTACAGGCCGCGCGTCTAGCGCTTTCGCCTCGAACTCTATAGGTTAGGATTTTCGTTTTTTCCTGCTGAGAGAAAAACAAAATCATCATCAACGCCCCCAACGCTGTCCAAGGGTTCCGACCTTCTTCTTCTTGCGTTCGCCTGAAAAAAGTTGTCTATATCGGCAATTTTGTCCCATATAAATTTCAGTCGTTTTTAGTTCCATCAGTGGTCCATAGAGTTTGCGTTCAACTATTTTTCTTTCTTGTCAAAAGGATTACTTTATTTTTTTTAATTCGGTGAAGTCCTGAAGTACATGTTCTGCTGTCTGGGGCACATTTTCACAAGTACATATGACTGATACGCCTATCTTGAACTTTGTTTACAAGCGGTTATGTAATCCGTTGTGCCCTATTCTGCGGCGAAGGATAATGACTTGGGGTTTCGACCTGAGTCGCCAGCTTGAGATCCAGCGTTCTTAACTGTTCGACCAGCTATGCAGCGAACCATAGCCTTATTTACTGCACCTACATTTTATAAATGTCTTTATTCATTTAATTGCCAGTGTTTCAGAGAAAAATAGAATCTACCTAAAGAAACAGCAAATATAAATTGTACTTTTCGAAAACCACGAGCTACGAGTTCGGCACTAATTTGTCAGTGATTACTTGACAAACAAATCTTAACCACAACATTCAGATTGTCACAGATAATAACAACTTCCAAGCCGATGGATTTAATAACAATCCTTGTGCCAATCTGAGCCAATGGACATAATATTGCACCTACATTTTAATAAACGTCTTTTCGGAAAGAAAATGCCCAAAGAATAAAAAAATGTAAATTGTACCATTCTAAACGTATGAACTTCATCGCGAGTACAATTTTGTCAGTGATTACTAGGCAAACCAACATTTGACCTAAGAAATCAAGTTGTCAAAGATAACAACATTCCATGTGACAGTCTAAACAGATAGATATGTGAAGAAACATTGAGCCAGAAATGAACCAAAGACAGATAACTAATGGTAGAAATGGTTGTAACCTGATTATATAAATATATCTGATTAAAAGAAAATAATACATAATTACGTTTCATTCCTTTTAGTTTTACCGATTCGTTAGAGTGTGTCCATGGTGCAGTGTCAGCACTGAGCTGACAGTAAGTGTTATAGAAAAATAATACTATGGGTAACAATTATAACGAGTATGTTAAAGTGCATGTTTGGAGTTGTTTCAAATAATACACTACATCTTCTTCGCATAGAATATTCGTCGTCCGGACTTTGGACGCAATATTTTTTTTTTAAACCCCACTCGGCAGTCGTCATGAGCCCTGATATAAACTAACGTTTTAAAGCGGTATCTGTGACTTGCTCTGGGATATTCTCATCCGAGTGATGACACTTCATGTCACCGGCTGTATATAATGCATTGTTGTGCCGTGCTGGCCGGGTTAAATATCACTAACTCGTCACATATGTAATAAATCCGAGCTGAAACGGTAATCTTTCAGTGAGTTCTAAGTGGTACTACCGTTGACCTGTTCAATCAAAGCAATATATTGAGAGGACAGCTTGTTTAATCTCTCACTGTAGTTTTTGCTATATATATATATATATGTATATATACATACTGAGGTCATAAAACCAAATTTGCTTCTATATTACAGGCAGTTAGTTTATTTATAATATTTTAATTACGAAACATACTCACATACATTGCATGGTGACATTCACATGGAAAGCGGAAATTGCGAATTTATTGATACAGATTTCCAGAACGTATGTAGACATGGAAGTAACGGAAACTAACGAGTTAAATAGCACTAGCTCGGAAATTGCATCGAATGGAGTTGATCCAATTAGCTTGAAGATGCGACACCTATTACAGGTGGTCACCTATGTGTTCATGTGTGGAACTGTCAGTCTGCTGGGCATCATAACCAACATCCTCAACGTTGTGGTGTTTGTTCGCCAGGGATTTCGGGAGACCATCAACATTAGTCTTTTAGGTAGGCCCGTGTTTCTTGTAATATTCGTACTAGTCTCAAATCAGTTGGCTGTCCTGATAAATTTCTCAAAAGGCACGAACTCTGTAGCTCAAGAACGATTCCAAGATGACTTGAACACACGCACTGGCTTACTGAAGCGAAATGTCCTAGATCGATTAGGAAACTTAGAGCATAAGACAGCCACTTTTACATGGAGATCCCATGATAAGCAAACTGATATCTTAAGTTCCTCTTTAGGCTTCCTTGGCCCCATTATGGAGGAAAGAATAGATCCCAATACACCCCCCCCCCCCCCCCTCCCGCTCTCTCCGCCAACGGCAAAAAAAAAATGCATGTTGGGGAACAAGAAAGCGACTAAAGGAAGTGCAGCTGCCTGAAAAGCGATGGACCAACAGTCTGCATACAGATGAGCTAGTTTTGTAGAAAAAAAAAAAAGTGCACGCAAACTAAAGTTCTTGGACAAGCAATACCAAAGTCCAGAAGTAGATGAACGACAAGTACATTCAGTTGGAATTAATAGCTGGTAAATACTAATAAGAAGAAGAAGAAGCAGAAAAAGAAGAAAAAGGAGGAGGAGAAGAAGAAGTAGAAGAAGAAGAAGAAGAAGAAGAAGAAGAAGAAGAAGAAGAAGAAGAAGAAGAAGAAGAAGAAGAAGAAGAAGAAGAAGAAGAAGAAGAAGAAGAAGAAGAAGAAGAAGAAGAAGAAGAAAAAGAAGAAGAAGAAGAAGAAGAAGAAGAAGAAGAGAAGAAGAAGAAGAAGAAGAAGAAGGAGAAGAAGAAGAAGAAGAAGAAGAAGAAGAAGAAAAAGATGTCTATTTCTGCGATGCTGTCTCTAATATGAACTTCATTGTCTTTTGTAATTCGCATAGCTGCCTGCAAAGTTTGGCTTTCACCGGTGTCTCTTTTGGCCAGAAGTTTTGTCTGAAAATGTAAGACAGTCATAGAAGACGTGATCTGTTGTCGCAGGTGCCAGTCCAGATGTGAACATGGCTGATTCGCCAATCTTAAATGTTGAGTTCATGAGGCTGCGAAGTCGATTGTGTCATTTTCCAAGACGTGGAATAATGACTCGCACTGGTCTGCCCATATATGGTAATCGTCTTGTGACCGTTTTGGTGGCTTTCTGATTGATGTGATTATTCTCTTCTTCTGTTGGTAAGAGACTGATATGTCAGGTTGTTCTTCGGTTGCACCTTCCTTATCCAGCTTATCATCTCTTTCATTGTCGGGAACTTCATAGTGGGACATTATCCATTGCTGCCTTACACCTGTTGCCTAGTTCAGAGAGAAGTGTCCGTATACCTGGTAATTTTCCAGGGAGTGCCTGAAGTACCGCATTTGCATGTGTGAGGAAACCATTGGTTGTGAAATATACCCGGTATTTAGTAGTTTCACTGCTGCGATATTGGTGGCTTGAATTTCTGCATCGTAGTTGTGACAGCGCTTTCCTGTTGGTATTGTTTAAAGATCTGTAGCCGCTTTCTTTTGGCTGTTGTCCCATTCTTCTTGATCATTTTGTTGGTTATTTCATCAATTTCAGGCGACTCTCCAATTTCAGCTTTGATATTGCTAACTCTAGCTCGCTAGATTAAGTGCTGACACCAGTGCCTCAGAAATGATATAGTTTTGTCTTGTATATTGCTGGTCCTCTCGAACCTCTCGCTGTTTCTCTGGGCTGAAATCAATGTTGCTGTCTACAGAAAATAAATCTGCAAAATGGTCAGCTGCCTGTTTTCTGCTAATTCTTCGCATAGTGCAATATTTGCATTCTCCATGCACTCTGATCACTAATTTGTTTTACTAGCCTCCATAACTTTCTTGTGTCTCTTTCAAATTTTAGACAGGATTTTTTTTCTCTTTCTGCCAGCTTGTCCGTCTAGTCTGCAGCTTTGCTCTTTGAAATTTGGCCATTGCATATTTGTATTTGTTAAACTGCGCTTGACAAGATCGGATTTCAACTTGCTATCTGTTCTGTTTCCTTAACATTGCCCATTACTCTAGATCATAATTCCAATACTGTGTAAATTGTTACGTGCACCTCTAATTATTGTTTCTATGGCTTCCTGTAGTATGTAAATGCTGAACGCTTCCTCTACAATTCCTGCATCGCTGTCTGTGTTCATATTTTTAACCAAACCATTTGTGCGGTGCTGATACACTTTCCAGTCTGCCTTCTTTTTTTATTCCATCTTGCAGAGTGCTGCTCTTTCTTAGACTGGCTTTCTACATTTACAAAGACTGGTCGGTGGTCACTGCCTCCTTGTTGTTTCCCAACAGTTCTAGTACATTCAGTTCCATGACAGGTGAGTGAAAGGCCAGGTCTGCTGTCCAGGTGTTATGCTGTGCTCTTAAGCAGGAGGTTTGTGCGTCGGTTGGTTAATGATGATGAATTTTTTTCCATCCTGCCAATCCTCCAGTCTCTCATCTCTCTGATCCTTGTGATCGTAGCCCCAACTTTGCGAATGGCTATTGAAATCTCCACACACAATCAGTTTTTCACTTGCTACTACTGTATCCAGTGCCTTGGTTCGGTCGCTAGGACAGTAATAATTTATCACACGAAAATCTGTATTATCTGTTATGAACTTAAGGGTGTAATACTAAGTCCATTCAATGTATTTTTCAATTTAGCACGCAAGGATATTATTATGACCAGGGTCAGAGTTCCACCTTTTCTTTTGTCTTTTTGGTCAGAGCGGTAACAATTGTAGCGTCTGATATTGAAGGCTATGTTTTCTCTGAGATAGGTCTCATGAAGTCTATATTATCTTTGAGGTAGGTCTCATTAAAGCTATGTTTTCTTTGAGGTAGGTTTCTTGAAGACTATGTTATCTTTGAGGTAGGTCTCTTGAAGGCTATGTTATCTGTGGGGTAGGTCTCTTAAAGGCCATGTTTTTTTTTTTTTTGAGGTCTGTCTCTTGAAGGCTATGTTTTTTTTTTTTTTTTTTGAGGTAGGTCTCTTGAAGGCTATGTTATCTTTAAGGTAGGTCTCATTAGGGCTATGTTATCTTTGAGGTCGGCCTCTTCAAGGCTATGTTTTCTTTGAGGTAGGTCTCTTGAAGTCTATGTTATCTTTGAGGTAGGTCTCTTGAAGGCTATGTTATCTTTGAGGTAGGTCTCATTAGGGCTATGTTATCTTTGAGGTCGGCCTCTTCAAGGCTATGTTTTCTTTGAGGTAGGTCTCTTGAAGTCTATGTTATCTTTGAGGTAGGTCTGTTGAAGGCTATGTTATCTTTAAGGTAGGTCTGCTGAAGGCTATGTTATCTTTGAGGTAGGTCTCTTGAAGTCTACGTTATCTTTGAGGTAGGTCTGTTGAAGGCTATGTTATCTTTGAGGTAGGTCTGTTGAAGGCTATGTTATCTTTGAGGTAGGTCTGTGGAAGGCTATGTTAACTTTTAGGTAGGTCTGATGAAGGCTATGATATCTTTGAGGTAGTTCTCTTGAAGGCTATGTTATCTTTGAGGTATGACTCTTGAAGGCTATGATTTCTTTGAGATAGGTCTCCTGAAGGCTATGTTCCCTCTGAGGTAGGTCTCTTGAAGGAAGCATACGTGCATCTCCTCTTCGTTCAAGGTTTTGTGCCCGTTTTTCTGCTTCCCCATTTAGTTGAGCTATATGCTGGCATGTAAGACATCCCCAGGTGTACGTTAGTCGGTCATATGGTAAGAATCATGCCGTGCTGTGTGTGTCCGTGGCATCCTGATTGCTGTTGTGCGCCTCCTGGCTGGTTGCCTCTGACTCCAGCACAATTATTTTGCTAGGGTAAACTGTGGTCTTACTCCTGGACTCCCATGTTTATAATGGAAGAGTGGTTCTTCCAGTAGTTACTTGTCGTCCGTTTTAACAACCTAGCACATCGTTCAGACCCACTAGTGCTCCCTCGTGCGATGTAGCAGCCACTTCAGTGTCTCCATGCTCACCGCATTCAGTAGGAGTTGACTGGTTGATCTTCTTTCTTTGCCACACAAACGGTTTCTACATGCTTGTCCTCGTATAACATCTAACGGGCTGTTCATCGTCTCTGACCTGTCTCAACGTCACTGAAACGAAGCGCATTCAGTGTGTCTTCTCATAACAAATACAGACATGGCCAGTCTGTTATCTTTTTCATTTTCTTTTACCCTGGCATATCTACTGTATTCTACTGTTCCTAGATTAGATAGTAGGGTTGTTTACGATATGTAGAAATGATCCAATCCCTTGTTAATGGACCAGTAGCGTTCATTACTGGACTCTTCTGCTACTGCTTCCGTGTGTCCCCTATATAATTCCAGTTCTCAGAGTAAACAGCTCAAGAATAAAAATCCTATAAGTAAAAATCTCGAGAAGCCACCTTTAACCGCAAGGTTATACTGGGGCCCTGACAGTTAGAAAATAACCTAACGCCCGGACCGGGCACGGAGGATGTACATGAAAAATATCACATGTGTTTTCCTTTTTTTTTTTCATGTAGGTCTGGCAGTGGCAGATTTGTTAAGTGTGACCACGATGTTTGTAATCTCCCTCAGCTTTATCCCTCTCCTGGATGTCTCGCATCTGCAGGTGAATTTATTTGATGTACTGTATCTGACAGTTGGCTGGCCACATGTTTCCTTCAACAGGTAAGTAAAAACTTCACGAAAAAGGTCTGTTTTTCTCACTCTCCCCAAAAAATAAATTTCCACAGTTACTACACTACACAAACTACTGAATAAAATTTATAACGAAGAGATTAAAAATATGAAAATTTGTAATATTTAAGCTCAGTATTGAACAACAATATCAGTCGTGTTATATGGCTCTGAAACTTGCACCACAACTAAAAGAGATGAACCTCATTACGGGTTTTCGAAAACAGAGTCTTACGACGAATCTTTGGGCCCATCAAAGATGCAAACAGCGTAGAATGAGAGCTTCTCAAACAACAAATTCATAATCTGTTTAAATCACCACTGATTACTGGCATTATGAGAACTAATCCTCTTAAATGTTTCGGACATATAGAAAAAATATCACATGACAGAGAAGTAAAACCTGTATACACCTGGGAGATGAATGCTCGTAGACCACTAGGGATACCAAGAAGACCATAGAGAGATAATATCAAGACAGACCCGAAAACACGTGGTGTCAACCAACCGGAAAGAGAGGGCCAACCAGAGAGATGAATGGAGGCGGGTGATATCTGTAGCAATAAACCTCAAGGGGTCAGAATGCTGAAGAAGAAAAAGAAGAAGAAGAAGAAGATTGAACAACAACGGCGACTGCACAAAATAAATGATAAAAAAGACTTGCCGTAACAGTTTAGCAATGCAGATGTTAAACAGCATGAAGGTTAATGACATAATAGCCACAAAATACCATCGCTGTGAGTCACTGATTTTTTTACAATCTTTGAAGCAAAGGAAAAGATCGGATCTTTTGAACTGAATTGCTACAGAAACATTCTGAGAATGTTGTGGACCAAGAAGAAGATAAACATCGACATAATGTCGGATTTGAGTCCTGGTTCATAAACAACATTATGTCTCGAAAGCTGAGATTCTGTGATATTCTGGGGTCATCGTAGCCTGGAGAGAACGATGATAGGAGGTGCAGTTTTGAAGAAAGGAAAAAAAAAAAAAAAAGAAACACAAGACAGAGGCCAACCTCCGTGAAAGTGTACCAGACATTGAAAATTCATTAGTTCTGAAAGCACATAATGCTGAAGAATTCGCTAGAGATATTTACGTTTATGATTATTCGACGAATCACCATTATGGCACACGAGTATAACCCATAAGTGTCCGTTCTATTCTAACTTAACATGGGCTTTTAGTCCCTGTATTTTTCAGTTCAGTTTGATGATTTATCTGTTGATTCTTTTTTCAGGATGTATCGGGGGTGGGTGGGGGGGGGGGGAGACATATTTTTGAGACTGTACACTTTTTTTAGAGAACTTAGAGGTGGAGTCTCTGCTGCCTTCTGCTGGCTTGAGAATCAGCTGTACAACATGTCGTGATTGTGACTGATTCAGAGAGCTTGTTGAAAAAGGTGACGACAGGCATGCACGCGTAGAATGGCAGGCATCACTTTAGAGGTCCCAGATAGTTGTCAGCCTTTTGAATATTTTCTCCACATAATGCTGGTGTGTGGGAAATGAGCAGGCAGATAGATTGGCCAGCTCTACACCACTTGGTGGTGAATTGTTATATGCAAAGCTAGATAGTGTTAGGGCCCTTTGGGAACGAGTGAAAAGTGGAGAGGCGCAGACAGATCATTGCGGTCTGGAGAGAATGGCGCTGCAAGGAGTTACCTGGGGATCTCGCCGACGCTCAACACTTAGGGAAATGATGAGACAAACAGACAGTTACTAGCGCTATCAGAACTGGAACTCTCCGCTAGCTGGTGAAGATAGAGATGGAGCACGTATAGCAGTGTCCCGAGTACTGTGATTTCGATTCTTGATTCAACATTCACCATTCAGGGGACTTCTTCCTTCATACAGTTATTAGGGTGAGGAAGGTGGCATGTTAGCCCTAACCTACACCAGTGTGCAAAGGGCTAAGTAGCGCACTGAATCCCTGCACTAACCATGTGCAGAAGTTCTCTATTAGGATTTTGCTCATACATTTCACACACACACACACACACACACACACACACACACACACACACAGAGATGTATGTGTGTGTTTGTATATATATATATATATATATATATATATATATATATATACATATATATATATATTGTGCACAGCGCCTGTGCTGTTAAAAGGTCTCGACCACATTTATTTAGTTTGCTATGCTGGAACTCTGGCATTTTGTGCTTGTCAGCTACGTATACTATCATCATGGTCATGCAGAAGGTCCTCTTAGGCAGAGGTTCCCAAACTGGGTACACCTACGGATGCCGCAAGCGTATGCAAGTGGTGCCTCGAGCGTATGCCAGGGGTGCCGCAGCATTAATCAATAATTTTTCAAATTCTACTTGAGATTAGCGAAGACTGCAATTTAAGACAGAAACAACGTGAAGGAAACCAAGTTAAGGATGTAGGTGTATTGAGAAGACAATGCTATTGGCAGGGCTGAAGTCCATTCTCAGCGTACGCTTACATGAAAAACAGATACAGGACCAAACTTGTTACTGTAGTATGCACCTTGCGAGATACAGCAAAATATGCCAGGCAACAAATTATGAAATCAATTGTTTGTGTTTTATTTGTTGGTATTTTTGTTTACTTGCAGAATATCCAGCACCATTACAGCCTATATATCCCTAGAGAGATGTCTGTGTGTTACGCTTCCTTTACAAGTCAAAGACATTATCACTCCATTGAAAACCAAAGTGGTGATTGGTTTAATTTATGTGATCATTATTACGTTTTTTACCCCATTCTACTTTGTCAATAAATTAGATTGGTGTTACAACAAAATTTGGAACAGAACTATACTAAGTCTGACGTTCGCAGAGAATAGAGTTGAAGTAGAGACGGCAACTTTCCCAATACACAGTGTTTTTATACCTCTCCTAGCTCAGTTTATTGTGATTGTCTGCACTCTTGTCATAGTTTTTCAACTAAACAGTAAAACAAAATGGCGGATGACTTCCGTTTCGCAGACGACAAAGCTTGGAACAAACTCAGCGAAAGAAAAAAATGTTGCAAAAATGGTGATATTTCTATCAGCGATTTTTTTAATATGCTATTTGCCATCAACAGTAAATTTTTTGATGATGATACTTTTTCCAAATTTTAGTTTCGGGGGAAAATACGAAAATATGTATATTTTAATTTGGTCTTTGACTGTTTTTGTAGAGACAATCAATTCTAGTGTAAATATTTTTGTTTATTTAAGGATGAGTACTAAGTTCAGGTTTGCTTTCAAGGAAACGTTCAGGGCAATACATTGGGGATTCCACTGAAACTCAAGCAGTTGAGATCTAACAAAATGTCATCAACAGCGTCATCATCCTTTACCATCATTAATTATCCCAATCATCATCGTCACCGCCAGAACTATCTTTATCATATCATCCTCCTTCTCATCATCATCACCACCCTGATTGCGACCGCAACGATCATAATCATCATCAATACCACCATCACTACAATCACCGTCATCATCATACGACCACTACCACAACCATTATTATCACTACCACCATCATCGTCATAAACTCTCTTATCATCATCACCATCATCACCTCCACCATCTCCATCGTCATCAACTCTGTTATCGTCATCATCATCATCTTCATCGCCAGCATTTCGTACTGATCCTCTTTTTGACAGATTCGTTTCCATTTATGTCAATCCATTTACACTGCATTTCTATTCCTTCAAGACTTTGGATAATCCCCTTCCGACTTTCAAGGCCAGTCGTAGGCTACCCCAGGCCCGTTTTATGGTGGTTCTAGGTGCCCATGTGTTGTAATGTCATTGCTATGTTGTCGATATCTGCTATACGGTTTTGTAGGTGACAATGTTGATACTTTTTCTGCAGTATAAAAAATTACAATGCATCTTTTCAGGTAAAGACAGGTGTAAGACAGGGATGTGTCATGTCACTCTCCTCTTCAACCTTGTGATTAATTGGATACTAAAAACCACAGTAGACAAGACATTGAAAGGCATAGGATGGACTCCATATACCGTGCTTGAGGACCTTGATTTTGCAGATGATAAAGCACTCCTATCACATAAACATGAACATATACAAGAGAAAAGTAACAGACTAAACTGCACAGCAGAAATGGTGGGACTGAGAATAAATACAAAGAAAACTAAGATCATGACAAACATTCCAAACCAACAACCAGTGACCATAACTAAGCAATCACTTGTAGAACATTTCACATATCTTGACACTGTAGTGTCCCTACTGGGAGTGGGGGTTGGGGGGGGGGGGGGGCAGAGGAAGACATACAGTCACGCCTAAACAAAGCTAGAGCTGCTTTTGGAAGGATGAGGCAAATCTGGAAATCCAACAGTTACTGCAGAGGAACAAAACTCCGACTCTACAAGAGCATCATTTTGCCAGTTCTTCTTTATGGAGCAGAATGCTGGAGAATGACCAAAAAGGATGTACACAAGCTGTCCACCTTCCACCACACATGTCTACGGAGAATTATCAAAAATTTCTGGCCAGATACAATCTCAAACACTAAACTACTTCAAGCCACAAACCAAGAAACTTTAGACAGTATGATAACCAAGAGATGATGGAAATGGCTTGGCCACGTTATGAGAATGAATCCTGATATACCTGCCAAAACAGCTCTCACATGGATACCAGAGGGAGCGAGAAAAAAGGGGCGCCAAAAACAACATGGAGACGAACGATGAAAAGTGACCTGAGTGCGGCATCTTTGACATGGAAAACTGTACTGATGAATGCAAGGGACATGAAAGCATGGAAAGTCCTCTCTGAAGCCTCATGTGCCACTAGGCATAACGATAGCTGATGAATGTTGATACAAGTTCGAAGATTGATATATTGACTTCAAAACCACAAGGATGTGCCATATTTAGAACACGTTCGCAAGTTATTCCATACCCGCTTCGAGTTTGTTGAGATGTGCCATACAGGGATGAGATTGGGCACGCTCGATATTTTCTAATCTAGTTGAGCGAATGTTCATACTCTTGATAATATCTCTTTGAGATTGTATAGAATTGTTACGAGTCAACCAAGACTGTGCACGCTTGACACGATTTAGTGATTGTTGTTCAGTTGGAAACTCGTACTAGTGTTGGCAAACACGATAGGGGATAATCGAACTTTGATGCCCTTGATACATGGGGAAACTGATCGAGTCAATAAAATACTTCTAGACTGCCTAGCGAAAGGAGCATACGGAGCAAGCAAATGTTTCGATCAAAGTCTTTACAGTACTTACATCGCAAGAAAAGGAACTGTTGACACCATGAACCATACGTTCCAGTTTTCCGCACTGTGTGGTAATGCATTGCTGTTTTACTTACAGCGGGACTGGGTGTTGTCGTACCGGATCCTGGATCAAGATAACTGTTACAAGAACAATCAACGTAAAATAATACAGTTCTCAACGAATCCCGTATGACATTTCTGCAAAATATCTCACCTTCAGATATCACCCAGGATGGGCTGTCCTGGGAAAGTAAAGACGGCCGGCGTAATGCTGACCACATTACCCACCTAGTGCCGATTGGTCTGTAAAAATATGGGTGCTCTTCCCATATGCCCGATGTGCTTAAGGGCGTGTAAAGGGATCTTAACTTTACTTTAGTTTAGATATCACAATCTTACTTGTAAATAAGCGAGCAAATATGCACATGTAAAAGCATATATAGAAATGTGATTATCAAAAACAGCAGACAGATGTGGCCACGACCTTGTCAAATAATTTTAAAAAGCATTAGGAAACCCACATATATCCTCAAAAAAGGGCAGCATATGCGATTTGGTATAGACACGAGTCTCTCACGATTTGTGTAGTAATGTGTTGCGAATCTGTTATCGAAATCTGTTGGAATTCATTGCTATTCTGATCTCTTCCAGTACAAATGAAGCTCACTATGCGTCCCTGGCTCGTACTACAGAATGGGCTTTCTTCTACTTCTCGTAGATCAGTCGGTTGTGACATTAACCTTATGTTACAAGTCTGCAGGATCGACATCCTTTCACCGGATTTCTTTTAATCCCATATGGCTCAGTCTCTCAGCAGGACGGGAAGCCATCTGCCGAGAGCATAGCACAATGCACGAACTCCGTAGCTCAGGCTACAATTCCCGATAACACTCTTAAAAATTGTACTCGTGAACTGAACGGTGCAGCCGTGAAACGAACCCACGACCTTCAGAGCGCGAGTCACAGACCTGACCACTTCGCCACGGGGACTCCTTGTTATATTAATGTTATATTTAACCTATTATAACATAATTATTGCCTAAAGCAATAAGACTAGTTATTAGAAGTATCGTCTAAATTCTCTGAGTTCCAAGCTTGAAGTAACACTTAAGTAAAATCTGAGTTGCATAGATTTAATTTAAAAAACATCTACTTTTGATATGCAGTCATAACACATCTAGTATTTCGAACATGACGCAAAGCAGACTGTGAATCTATCGCAAAGCAGCCCCAAAAGGTAGATTTTTCTCAGCACGAAGCAAGTCTCGCGATGCCTCCACTAATAGTGTGGATCAAAAGTTTCAAACTGTATTTTGATTTCGCAGATTATGCCGGCAATTTACGGTCCCGTCCGAATCAACACAGGAGGCATCATCAAAGCGCTGCAGAAGAAAACTAGATTAGTCAGGTCAAATACTAAAACCCATACATTTTCCAATGCGATGGGCCAGAACCGTTTATAAATTATAAGTATTATTTACACAAAAAATCTTTAAAAACAATTAAAAACACATTTATGAACAAGTGTGGTTTTACCGCATTGATTTGGTTTATATTAAATGAATGTCAAGTTAAATTATTCCACTTACATTATGACAAGCTGTAAGCAACATGTTTCATACACTACCGATATGTGGACAATGTTATAGCATTGTTTCTGCACAAAACCTTGCCAACAGATAGACCAGGTAATACAACAACTCATCAGGTAAGTTGTCTTGGGAATGCTGGTCTGGGCTTTATTGTTTTGGTGATGGCTTCATTTGCCGAAACGCTATTGTCAACCAGCAATGACTGTAGCTGTGTTATTTGAGAGTTACTGATGATCAGATAGTTTACTACTTGATAGCACTGTCAAATAATACCACCAGTGTCTGTGGCATAGGTGTTGCGAAAGCGCTTCGTAACTCCAAAGTGCCATTTCTACGAAGTCATGAGACGGATGTGCAACTAACAAGATTGTGCTTGAGTAAATAATATGAGTACAGAATGAAATCTGTTGACTATCACTTTTGAAGCTAGCGAGGAGGAAATATCGATTGATATTGTTGTTAGCACTTCGCAACAATTTTAATATGTCGCACCTTGTCCCTGATCTAATGTGAATCTTGAGCTATTGTGTTATCCTTTTTTTTTTTTTTTTGTAAAACATGAGCTATTGCTACGTATGTGGGCTTCTGAGAAAAATCTGGGATTAGCATATGGCCTAAAGTCATAAAACAAAACATATTACATCTTATAATGCATTTCTGTCATATATGTTTGCTCTGACCACATCCCCTATATGTAGTATGTTTGCCAGAAATACATTAACTTAGTAAAGAATTCAACTTAGTGCCTTTCTGGAACAAATTGTAATCATTTTTTAAATAAACAACTAATTTGTTATTTCCTGCTTTCTGTTGTTTGTGCTGTTACTATTGTCGTTTGACTGACACATAGTTTCCTTTTTGCTTTTTTGTTTTTGTTAAAGCACTCTTGTTCTTTTCGTTTCACTACCTTTTTCCTACCTCCTTGTCTCTCTCCCCCCCCCCCCCCCCCCCCCCCCCCCCCCAACCTTTTCCTCTTGCAGCACACCTCCTCGATTTTTGTTTTTATTATTACATTGAAGAGATAACAACTACCCACCATGCGTTTATTTATAATGTTTTCTTATTCCGTTCTACTCCATGTATTCACATGTGTTTTACTGCCTCTTTCGGTCTCTCGTCATTTTGTCGTATTTGTACCATCTCACTTGGGTCCCCCTCCCCCTCCCCCAAACTTTTCAGATTTGAAGACATCGTCTTTGTCTCACTCTTTCTCTTTCTCTAGATCTCTTTCTCAGCGTCTCTCTTATTTTCTCTCCCAAACATCTTGCCTGTCTGTTCAGCTGAACACAGATGATTGTGCGTAGATGTATGTATCTCACTAATTTTGTGCGATGTATGTATGTATGTATGTATGTATTTATGTATGTATGTATGTATGTATGTATGTATGTATGTATGTATGTATGTATGTATGTATGTATGTATGTATGTATGTATGTATGTATGTATGTATGTATGTATGTATGTATGTATGTATGTATGTATGTATGTATGTATGTATGTATGTATGTATGTATGTATGTATGTATGTATGTATGTATGTATGTATGTATGTATGTATGTATGTATGTATGTATGTATGTATGTATGTATGTATGTATGTATGTATGTATGTATGTATGTATGTATGTATGTATGTATGTATGTATGTATGTATGTATGTATGTATGTATGTATGTATGTATGTATGTATGTATGTATGTATGTATGTATGTATGTATGTATGTATGCATGCATGCATGTATGTGTATGTATGTATGTATGTATGTATGTATGTATGTATGTATGTATGTATGTATGTATGTATGTATGTATGTATGTATGTATGTATGTATGTATGTATGTATGTATGTATGTATGTATGTATGTAGGTATGTAATGTGTGTATGTATGTATGTATGTATGTATGTATGCATGTATGTACGTATATGTGTGTGTATGTATGTATGTGTGTTTGTATGTACGTATGTATGTATGTATTTATGTATGTTTGTTTGTATGTATTTGTAATACATGGATGGTTTGCAACACATTTTAAGCAAGGCTATTGTGGTAGCCCAGGTGACCTGTTGTCCACCACTGAGATGATTCGAGTGTGGGCAAGTCTGCTAGTGAGATCCCTGTTCCAACCCTTCATGCGTATCAGTGAATATTGAAAGTGAGCATATGCGATTAAGTATCTGATGTTTTCTCTCGCCTATCCCCAGGGTAAATTTATTGTATGAAATGAATACCAGCAGAGTACCTGTTAAATAGTTACAAACATTTTGTAAAACACGTCCACTACTTACTATATTCCCTTGCTAGCAGGCAAAAAACCTGGTAATAATAATAACGAAACAAGGAACTGTACCAAGATTGCTAAGCATGTATAATATTTCAATAATTCATTCATTTTTTACTGGATCGTGTGATGTTACCAAGGTGGATAAAATATATCCATGTCTGACCTCATTCAGTACGATTGTTCAGCAATGGCGCGAACCACTCAAGCTGGTTGCTTTCAGATCTACACTAAACATATAACAATATGTTATTTCCCTACACTATATTACATATATTATTCTTCGGTGCTTTAGTATGTAGGTAACCTCATTTAGAACGATTTTTTAGCAATGGCAGAAGACGTTCAAGCTAGTTGCTATGGAATCTACATTAAATCTACTACTATATGTTATTTCACTTACGTTTTGTGAAGTATATTTTTCTTTGATCCTTAAGTTATGTAATCCTTGTTCAGAGCAACCTTTGACCAATGACAAGATACATTCAGGCTAAGTGTCTTCAGCTATATACGAAACAGATCACAATATGTTACTTTAATACTTCCTATTATGTTTATCTCTTCTTTATTTGACATCTGAAAGTACAGTGGACATGTATGTGGCATTACATCCTAATATGATGATTGTCTGTGTCGTCAATTCAAATAACAAAGTTTATTAGATTGAATTATGTACTTGCTTAGTATCCTCACCTAATTTTGATTTATCATAACATACCTGTTTAGCTTTATTACATTGTTTAATCTCATATATTATATTTATATATACATATCTATATCCTCTGTAGTGCTATGGCGTATAGATATTCCGGGTGACGAACTCCTTGTGGTCCAGGTTCACTCCCGGGGGTAGGCAGAAAAGCCACATTTCTCCCAGATTAATGGTACCTATAATGGAATCAATGCCGAAGGGTTGCGATATCCATAGTACCGAGCCAAAGGGTTTACAACTCATGGTTTCTGGATACGTTAAAAAAAAAAATAGATATTTGTAACTAATATGTAAAACTTACCGAACACTTCAAAACCTGGCAAAATGTACAAATGAAAATTTAGTATGGGAAACCATTAGACAGGTCTGTCTTTTTTCTCTGACTCTAAGTAGAACTGTGTGTAGTATTGTGACAGGACAGGGTTCAATCCGTAATAGTCTGAACATCTAAAACCTCTATGGAAGACAGAAATGTGAGCCAGCTAGAGGCTAGAGAAGTGACCCGGTCAGTGTAGAACTGGCCCAGTATTTTATGGCCGCGGTCATGGTGATGGGCTGTGGGCTGGTCAGTTTGTTGGGGATTGTGACCAATGTTATTAACATCATCGTCTTCATCAAGCAGAAGCTGAAGGACAGTGTCAACATCAGTTTGCTTGGTATGACTCTATCTATTCCACTCTATTGTTACCGTCCTCTTGTTCATCATTAGCATCATTTTCGTTATCATCATCGTCACCTTTACATAATTTTCGTCGTTATCATAATTATCCTCAAAAGCATCATCATCGGCATCAACATTATCATCATCGCATTGGTCATAAAAAAAACACGTGATCTCCCTGACCCGATTAATTAGAATAATCATCACGACCAACATAACCAACTTACATCTGCTAACATAAATACGCACCATGGTTACCGTGATCTTTGTACTCTACAGCATCGCTGTAACATTTGTCATCAATATCATCACCGTCACTAGGATTATAGTCGTTATCATCATTATCATAGTTTCAGTACCCCAGTCATATCTATCTATCTATCTATCTATCTATCTATCTATCTATCTATCTATCTATCTATCTATCTATCTATCTATCTATCTATCTATCTATCTATCTATCTATCTATCTATCTATCTATCTATCTATCTATCTATCTATCTATCTATCTATCTATCTATCTATCTATCTATCTATCTAATCTATCTATCTATCTATCTATCTATCTATCTATCTATCTATCTATTTATCTATTCTATCTATCTATCTATCTATCTATCTATCTATCTATCTATCTATCTATCTATCTATCTATCTATCTATCTATCTATCGGTCGGTCGGTCGGTCGGTCGGTCTGTCTGTCTGTCTGTCTGTCTGTCTGTCTGTCTGTCTGTCTGTCTGTCTGTCTGTCTGTCTGTCTGTCTGTCTGTCTGTCTGTCTGTCTGTCTGTCTGTCTGTCTATTAATCTGTGTGTCTGCCTGTCACTCTGTCTGCCTGCCTGACTGCCTGAATGTCTGTCTGTATGTTTGTCTGTCTACCTACCTATCTATCTGCCTGGATTTCTATCTACTCATAGATCGACAGGCTAAAAATATAATAGGAAATTATCTCAGAATTTAAAATGGTATATATGGTACTAACATCATGTTTACATTTATATGTAACGGTACGTGTATATGAAAGAAAATACTGCATGTATGCTAACATCAGTTATGTGACAATCAATGATTCAAGCTCTAGCGATAGCGGACTTCCTGTGTGTGGTCAGTATGTTCTGGATGTGCTTCTCCTGCAGCCCCATCTTTGCCATGTTGGAACTGCCCTTTAACGCATTCGATATCACCTACATGACCGGCACCTGGACTCGCCTGTGCTCTAACAGGTAAGCCATTTTTAGCTTCAAGGTGTTATGGCTTAGTCCTCTTCTTCTTTATTCCTGGAATGCCTCGCAGAGTCAGGGCAGTTAGAGATCTCCCAAACAGGGCCTTTACTTTTATTTGTATATAGAACTTTTCAGTTTCTCTGATATTTCTGCGGTCCATGTTCAGTGTGGTCGGCCTCTGGGTCTGTTACTTTTGTATGTCTATAACATTGTGTGGTGCCCTGTCTTTTGCCAGTTATGGCAACCTGATATATAATGTAACAGATTCATTCTCCCACAAATATCTAAGTCTTATACTCTTCTTTCAGTTCTACAAGATTATCAGTAAACGTTTACGAGGAGATCGGTAGTCTCAACCAAAGCTATTCAAGTTTTTTAATCGCCTTGTGTGCCATTTGCTTTTTGTTTATTGATGCTGGAATAGGTCGGTTGCTTCTCTATAAGCATCAAACAGTTAACGGTTTTGGAGTACATTCTCTAAGTTTTGAGCAACAATGTTGCAAGGACACGTCACTCCCCGAACCTCGCTGTGTAGGTTTCGGGGTCCCATTACGGGAGAAACAAGAATAGACCCACTGCTTTCCCAATAAGCATGACATAGGAGTCGACTAACTGGGAGCTTCCTTAAAGATCAGAATGCATCGGCCCAAGTCGCAAGGAACAATCAGTTGCACACAAAAAACCTAGTAAAAAGAATGTACAAGCAAAATTCAGGCACTGACACAAAGCCATCGTTCAAACAGACGAACAACCAAGACTTTCCGCTTGAGCTTAGTTTTGATTAGCCAAGTTAAGCTGCTATCTATGGAACTAGCCTCTCCTAGATAGCAGTGGCTAGAATTGTGGCTCCTTATCGTGCTGCTGTTTCATTAGGTATTTCTTGGTTTTGGTGGTTCAAGCCTCCTACGTCTTGTCGAATAGTGTCTTCTGTTTTTTGAGTGAAGTGGTGTTGTCTTGGCACTATTTGTTTAGCTGGAGGCTCGCTGTGGGCTTTATGATATTTCCTCTGCCACTGGTTGAGCGTCTTCTGTGCCAGTTTTCATGATTGTGACTGCGATTGTTGTAGTTTTGTTAAAGTGGGTCAGGTAGTCTGCTCCAAGGATGTTATCTGCCTGTGGTATCCACTAGGGCACACACGAAATCACCCACTGGTGTAGCAGTCCTGCTGTCCGTTGTTGTGGCTATCGACACCTTAGTTGTGTCGTTATCTTGATCTGGCCTTTGCATCACTCTTAGCGTTCTGTCATCATCTATATCATTATCATCATCATAAACCACTTCTGCCGTTAAGCGCCGTGGGGAGGAATAATCTTTGTTCCAGTGCACACTAGCTGCCACTAGCTATTGTCATTCCGTGAAGGTGTAGTGTCTTTAATGTTGTCGATCCATGTTTCCGCCGCCGTCCTCTTGCTCTTGTAGCTGATCTTCTGAGATGTAGTGCTTGTGATGGTATTTGATCTTGCTGCATTCTAACGAGATGGCGAAACCACTTGATCTGCTGTTTCTCGATGAATCTAGTACAAGGTGTCGTTCCTTTAATTTGTCTGATAGTTTTGTTATTCACTCGATCTCGGATAGTTAGGTTGGCTGCTTTTCTTAGGCATCTCATCTCGCAGGTGGCAATTTTGCATATATGGGCTTTAGATAGTGCCCATGTTTGGCACTGGTAGCTTAATGTTGGAATGAATATGCTGTTTATAATCTGTCTATTAGCACTCATAGTTTTGCTTGGATGTCCTAATAGTGGTTACAGTTGGTATATTAGTGCACTTGATTTCTGACTTATGGTTTCTTTTTCTCTGTCAACTCTACCACCATCCGTAATCACTTTCTAGACATTTAAACTCCCTAACCTGATTCAGACCAGAACCATTCAGCTGTATATGTTGTGGGACAGGGGATCTCCTAACTTGCATTGTTTCGATTCTGTTTGCATTGATCTTCATGTTGTATTTACTGCATGCTGAGTTTAACCTGTTGATAAAATGTTCCAGGCCATCATTCTGTTGCTGACTTGGTAAGATTTCTTCTGCACTAGGTGGGTTCTTTGTACTTCCGTCTGATTATTGCTGGTTGGTAGAGCCTGTAGACGGCTAGTCGACACTGTTCTCCTTGTCACTCGTCCTGCGTCTCTCTTGATCGCTATACTAGCTCTTTCATAACTATCCTTGCAAACAGTGCGTTGCCTCACTTCGTCTTAGTCTTGGCTTTGCTCTTTGTATCTCTGTAGTTTTCTTATTTGATTTAGGAGGTCTATCAGTCACGGTGTTGACTGATTCTCGTTGTACTGGAACTGGTTCTCGTCGGTCTCGTTTCTTTTGAAAATCCATAAGCATTGTCACAATATCTGCCTTGTCTTTGGATTTATAATTTAGTTTGTATATATGTCTCTCATAACCTCCATTTGACTTCGTATTTGCATGTGGTGTATATATGCTGCACCATGTTCTGTATTAGATTATAAACCTGTCCATCTGGCCTTGAATCCTCGACTTTTCAAGTAGGGTGTCGCTCTTGTGTGCTTAATGTCTACTATGTGCTTCTTTATCGGGTAAGTTTTCTTTGATGGCTACTTTTATAATCTCTCTGCATCGCTGGATACACAGGGATATCTGGTTCCCTGTGGTCTGAAGCAGTTTGCGCATTTCCTATCTGCTTCGAGAAATTGCAGTCCATATTAACCTTTCTTGAATACTTCCGGTAGGCATGTGGATACTAGCAATCATGCTTTCTGAGACATTTTGCTCTGGAAAGCCCGGCCTTCTGGCAAGGCGAACATGGCAGTGTTGTGAGACATACTGTTCAGGTCTGTGTGGCCAACTGTCGATCATACGTTTATCAAGAATATGATCGCCAACGGTTGTCCCCATAGCCTCCGTCGCAGGCTTGTACCCCGATCCCAGCCGCTCCACCTTAGTGATCTGTAATGTTGAGTAATCTTCCTGCCTTTGCTCTTGTATTTCCTTGTCGGTAAGCGTCCGGTTGAAAACCCACATCCGCACTGAGCATCTGTTCGGTTAGGGTTAGGGTTCTTCTAATTTTATGTAACAGTCTAGGGTTAGCGGCGATTAGGGTTGATTTCTTTGATTCCCAAATGGATCGCTTTCTCCATAGGCCCTCCAAGAACGTTAAAATTGTCAGAATGGTTAGGGTAGTTGATGTTCGATGCTGGTCTCTCAGATCAATACATGCTGCCCGGAATGTGTGGTCATCAATCGGTTGGCTGTCTGCTCTGACTTCTGAGTCTGTGCATCTTGCTTATTGAAATGCTACAAAATGGCGGTTGTTTCGATACTTTGCTTCTCGGCAGCATTTGGATGGTTACTGCTCTCTGATGGTTGTCGCGGCTGCGGTTGTGTCTTATCCAGGCTTGCCAGTTCGTTCCACCGAGACGTCTCTTTTCCAGTGTTGACTGCATCTTTTATTGTCGACGAACTGGTCTCTCGTGTGTTTGCTGCACTAGATGTTGTAGCGTTGCTCATCTGCTTCACCTTCTGGTCACCTTGCTTTATGTGAGGCACACAGTTTTGTAGATTTCCTAGGTCTGACCATAGCGACTGCAAAAGCTAACGTAACTTGCAAACTGTGCGCTTATAATGTAGTTAGCGATTCTAGATGAAGAGTAGTCCTTAAGGGAATCCAATCACGTTGTTGATCCAAGAGGATACTTTTGCTAGTAATCGCTGGTCGTGTGACAGACACGCTGGATAGTAAACACTGAGATATGTTTTCCTCGTTTTGTTTCTGCTGATTCTGCTGAGAAGGCGAAGCAACGTTTAGTTGTTACCGCTGTGTCATCTTTAGGAAAGGTTGGCTGCAGATTAAAAGGATGTTTGCAATTCAAGGAGGCTTCAATAAATGCAGAGCTGACACGTGACGTTCTGGTTCTGGGCTAACCTAAGAAATCGCCAGGTCCTGTATATTAGTGCTTTACCACACAACCGTATGTTGAGCTTGCTACTAGTCGCGGGTTGCGGCCTCCGGAGATTAGCAGGGAGCAGTCCTCAGGTACAGGATTTTGATGGCCACACAGATATAAACATATTTCTTCATTATTTTAAACACTTTGAACGTTGTTTCAACTGTGCCCTTAGTACGACAGTAGGGAGAAGCATGCACCATTGATAGCTTCTCTTATGTGGCCCCAACACTCAGGCGAGTGGGGTTAATGGCAACTGACTTTTGAACCTGTCTGCCAATTAGTAAGAATTTTGACGGTCAAATATTGAGACTTTGCTGATGTGCAATGGGTCGTATGTCTGTCTGACATGTGAGCCTAACCAGCAGACAGACAGTAGAAGTCGCCATATACCTCGCCGTTGTGAGAACATCGTTGAGGGTTAGCAAAGGATGCATAGAGACAAAATTTTACCAAAAGAAACCACCACTGGAGATGTTGCTCGTCTACGCTACGGGCAAATCTCTGTGTCAAGAGGTCAGTCTCAACAGTTCAGTTGTTCTTTTACTTCGCAGACTTTTAACCGAGAGTTGTCATGCAGTGGAACATTCGGCAAGCGGACTTTACTTATGATCGAAATTAGTTTTGATAATATGTTTTCACCTACGGACTGGAGTTGGCTGATAAGGGCCAACATGGACTCAGCATCTCTGAGGGCAACCGTGATCCCCAGCCAGCTCCATGATCCCCAGCCAGCCCCGTGATCCCCAGCCAGCTCTGTTAGTGCTCATTTAATACATTATCCGTGGCTCAAGAAGGGAACATGCACTAGGAGTCTTGCAAGAGGTTCCGTAAAACTAGCACAGAGAAGGCTGGCGCCCGAGGTGAGATATGGAGTATTTTCTTATACGCATCACAACAGAATTAACTTTTTTTTCACACGCCTGTGATAGAAATTACGGTGCGACTTGTACGTGCCAAACCTGAGTCTAATACAAGGTATGATCCTGTTACACGTAGCAGACCCTTTGTAGAACGTCACTGTCATCACGGTTTGCCCGAGGAAACTCGGTCTTTCGCCACCTCCCTCGTATCGTGCACTTTCCTGCTAAACGTCTCATTTAAATCCGTATTTACACGATGTAAGATTGAAAGTTTTGAAATGTATTTGAAGAAATAATATATATCCGATTAAAGATATTTTATTTTACATGTCTACAGAACCGCAAGCTTTATCAACGCCTTTATCACTCTGGAGAGATGTTTATGCATCGCCTTGCCTCTCAAAGTTAAAGACATCATCACGCCTCAAAGAACAATGATGATCAACGCTTTCATTTTTATATTTATGATTGCCATCTTCTCTCCATTTTACTACGTCAACAGACTGGAATGGCGCCTTCACCTACCCAAAAACAAAACACTTCTCACACTTGTGTTCACAGAAGATAAAGTATTTGTTGAAACAATCACATTTCCGATTCACAGCGTAGCTATGTCGGTGTTAGCACTGGTCTGTGTTGTCGTCTGCACGATTATCCTAATTATCAAACTAAACAAGAAATCAAAATGGCGACAGGAGAACGCCACATCAAATTCAACAACCCTTGACACGTCCTCGCGTAAAGAACAGAAAGTAGTCAAGATGGTGACTTCAATTTCAGTTGTGTTTATCGTTTGCTACACGCCTTCAACAGTGACGTTCGTCATGATGACGTGTTACCCAGAGTTCAGTCTGACCGGGAAGTTTATGAACACATGGTACGTTGTTTGGTCACTGACTGTACTTCTAGAAACTATTAATTCTTCTATAAATATTTTTATTTACTTTAATATGAGTTCAAAGTTTAAAGCAGTCATTTTAAGTATGTGTCCTAAATTGTAAATAATGCAGTGAACAAAACAAGTTAGAAATAAAGTCTTTAGGAAAAATAGGTGACAAAAAGTATCGATATGGATAGAGTGTGGGAGTACCTTGAATGGATAGCAGCCGGTTCGTCACGGCTAAGTCTAACGACCATTGACATTATCGGACGCCCTTGCTTCTTATTCCCGTTACTGTCTCACTCACTCAACACTGTACGATCACCCTTTGATGATTGAACAGGCACTCTCATATTAAGCCGTGAAACAGCTGTATGCTAAACTCTTTAATCGTAAAGCATGAGACAGGCGGGTACTTTCAACAACGTCACAACATAAAGTACATAGTTTTGGGTATTGTCCTTCTGGATACTATGATAGATTACGAATATCAGCAGCATCGAATCCTAATGAAAGAATGATCCACGAAACAACATCTTCACTCTCTTCTAACACAGTGCTGAATTAGACGCGAAAAGCAACAAAATGTCTGTTCGTTCTAAATAATATGATCTTGTTTCAATCATTCCGTATCATGCTCTAGTGGAGGTTTGTCCTATTCCTTCTAGATCCAATGATTTTTTGGTCGTTCCCGTCCAGAACCCCATTACAAACTGTTAGCCACTTTCCTGCCAGCACCCCATTACGAAACTGTTAGCCTCTTTCCTGTCCAGCACCCCATTACAAACTGTTAGCCTCTTTCCTGCCCAGCACCCCATTACAAACTGTTAGCCACTTTCCTGCCCAGCACCCCATTACAAACTGTTAGCCTCTTTCCTGCCCAGCACCCCATTACAAACTGTTAGCCACTTTCCTGCCCAGCACCCCATTACAAACTGTTAGCCTCTTTCCTGCCCATAACCCCATTACGAACTGTTAGCCTCTTTCCTGCCCAGCACCCCATTACAAACTGTTAGCCTCTTTCCTTGTAATCCCTCCGGCAGACTGTCCTTCCAAGCTCGTGTTACCGACCCTGCGTCATTCCCAGTATAATTTTTGAACGAACTGAGCTCTATTCCAAGGTTGTCTGGTCTTTATAAAGAATCGACCACCAAGGTGTTAATCGTAAAAGTCTCGAACATTCTTTTATGTTGAACTCAGGTTAATTACTAGAGCTGTTATATGAAAATATCAGGAGGGTGGTATGTTCATTCATTCTCGATCTGATAGCAGCCTTTACAATGCTTGCAGGCTGCAGTCCAAAACCAGGATAAGAAAGGTACTTATCAGAGAGCTGCTGTTTGCTGATGATTCCGCAAATTATTAATGACACTGAAAATGTGGTTTCCCAAACGAATGTTAAGAATCCCCCAAACTGCCAGACTAACCAGAATTTCTTGAACACACAACCCACGACTAATAGAAAGGAAAAAAAAATAGATCAATAAATACATCTTTAAGGGAAAGACAGGCACTGTTCTTTAGTCATGGGATTTTGGAGGGAAGGGGTGGGGGGTATTGTGACGACTGGAACGGTCAACGGTAGAAGAAGGAGAGGCAGACCGAGCGAGATGATGACGGATAGAATGAGATGGTGGCACGGAGGGACGTCATCGGTAGAAGTGATCCAGAGGACAGAGGACCGATATCTGTGGAGTTGCATAAACGCCGCGTCAATAGTAGGACACTTAATGCTGTGTGTGTCTGTGTATGTCCCTGTGTATGTCTGTGTGTACATGTCTCTGTGTGTTTGTCTCTCCGTGTGTGTGTGTGTGTGTGTGTCTGCGTGTATGTGTGTCTGCCTGTGTGTTTGTCTGTCTGCTTGTGTGTCTGTGTGTATCTGTGTGTGTGCCTGTGTGTATGTATGTGTGTATGTCTGTGTGTTTGTCTGTCTGCTTGTGTGTCTGCGTGTATCTGTGTGTGTGTCTGTGTGTATGTATGTGTGTATGCGTCTGCGTGAGTATCAGCGTGTGTGTGTGTGTGTCTTCGATTGTGTGTGTTTGTGTGTCTGCGCGCGTGTGTGTGTGTGCGTGTATGTCTATATATGTGGTTCTGCGTGTGAGCCTGTGGGTTGTGTGTGTGTAGATTTGTGTGTTTGTGTATGTGTGTATGGGCGTCTGTGTGTGTGCATGTGTTTCTGTGTGTGTGTCTACGTGTGTCTGAGTATGTGTGTCTGCGGATTTGTGTGTCTGTCTGTCTGCATGTGTATGTCTGTGTGTGTTTGTGTCTCTGCGTGTGTGTGTGTGTGTGTCTGTGTGTGCATAACTGTATCTTTCTAGATTTGTGTGTGTATGTATACTTGTGGGTGTGTGTGTGAATGTATATGGGTGTATGCGTGTTTAAGTGAGTATATAGGTGCGTGTATGTGTGTGTGTGTGTGTGTGTGTGTGTGTGTGCGTTCGCTAGAGTGTGGATGCATTTAACCAAACATGATTTTGATTTTTTCTTGATATTCTCAACATCCATATTATTATCTGAATATAACATCCTTTATTGATGAAATTTTGAATATAGCATGCATTATTGATAAAATACAACTGCTGTGTGAAAGACCGGTATTTGTCAGGGCCGAATGTAAGATGGGCCTGCGTGCCCATTTTGTGACCCTTTGAAAATAAAGTTCGTTCTTTCGTTCGTTTGATGATGATGTTTCTATGTCACACATTAGAACTCAATATACGACGTTTTCTGATTCTCATATTATACCATTTGTTTGTCTCGGTGGGCGTTGACGTTCTTCTCATGTTGTAAATATTTTAGTTAGACCATGTCCCCTATAACCACCACCATCACCACCACCTTCCCCTCTTCCCGTCTTTTACTTTATTTAGCATAGTAAAAAAAAAAAAAGTAAAGTTCCTTTTTCACGCCTTTTGGGGCGTATGGGCAGAGCGACCCATATTTTTACAAACCATCAGCACTCTGTGGGTAATGTGGTCAGCATTACGCCGGCTGTCTTTACTTTCCCAGGACAGCCCATGCTGGTACCCATTTTAGGCTGGGTCGACCTGCGACGTCCCATACCACGACAAAAATCCACGCAGCCTGCGGTGGGTTTCGATCGCGGTATGCTGGCTTACGTAGTAATTCTGGGTTTTCATCAACGTCTTCGTCTTCAAATTCATCACTTACGTAACTCAAGTGTAATGGAATTGTGTGTGATGTTTACAGTGTGTTGCATACATTAGTCTTATTTTCTATAGTTGTTCTTGATACCAACAATCTATGTTCTGCACGACCTTTCTCTTGGCCTATGTCTACTACATTTCTGTAGCGTGGCTGTCTGTTACAGTTGGTACCAGGGTATTGTCACCAGATGGTCGGTAGTATCACTTGGCTTTAAATAAATTTTGCGTCACCAGCACACTTACCTTGACAAGTCTTGCTTAGAGACAAGTTGATTTGGCTACCGCATGAGAAAATACTTACAAGAAAACGATGCATGTATTCTGTAGAAATTCCCCATAACTGAAGAAGATATCAAGAGATCAATAACGGATTTGCTGGATACACCCAGTTTACTTTTCTCCCTGTACCGTACGGTTGAAGAGATTGTGTATCCCATTTTAAGGTATTTGGTAAACCATTATGGGATTTTGTTTTTACTGGTGCTTATCGTCAGAGGTCGAATTACTAGGATTTATCGTATGTTGATACTGTGAACTTGTTACCAGACATTAATAAAAAGCGGAAATGGTAAAAAACGACTAGTGTCAGATAAAATATTACTTTTGAATTACAAATGCAAAACAATGTAATAGATGGACTGAAAACCTAATACAGCAGTCATTCAATCAATCAGGTGACGTCTACACAGTTTTAGGTTAGTCATTCAATCAATCAGCTGACGTCTACACAGTTGTAGGTTAGTCATTCAATCATTCAGGTGACGTCTACACAGTTGTAGGTTAGTCATTCAATCATTCAGGTGACGACTACACAGTTGTAGGTTAGTCATTCAATCATTCAGATGACGTCTACACAGTTGTAGGTTAGTCATTCAATCATTCAGGTGACGACTACACAGTTGTAGGTTAGCGGAAATGGATCCTTAAAGAGCTCTGACTTTTGTCCTGGTTGCAGGCTTGCTAAAGCTTACATTCATTCAAATAATTGTCTTAAGTTTTCATTTCTATAAATAAAAATTTTTTGCTAGCTTGTAAAAAACTTTTTCTTCCTCAACGATTTAAAAAATGAAAAAATAGATTGCCCTTGCAACCAACATCTTTCTAAATAGTCGAGCGTTCGAAGATAACCTATCACAACCTTCAAAAAGACAGCAATAATTGTTTTGTGAGTCAACTTGTGAGAAGTTGACCACTAGTAACATCTGTGGGAAAAGAGAGCGAGCAAGACAAGGCGTCTTTACAGTCTTTTCTCATGGCATGGAAGATGTCAGCACGAGAACTGATAATGCCGTTGAAGATAACAAATGATAATACTGTTGGAGATAACAACTGAAAATACTGTTGAAGATAACAAATTGTGGTAGAGACATGATAATCCACACCAGTCGACAAGGTATGGTCGACGACGATGATGACTGTTGATAATGATGATGAGCATGCGCTTTCATGTAGTAGCAATATCCCCACCCCCCTCCCCCTCCCCGTGTAGAGTGGAATTTACTTTAAAAAATAGTTAGTTATGTATCTTTTCAGAATGTTGCAGAACCAATTCTAGCATTTTTGTTGTTGTTGCTTTTATAGTTTTTCTAGGCAAATTTTAACTTTCAGTAGTTTACAACTGCCACAAACGATCAGATCCCGATACCACTGTCGAAACCAACGCAAGGCAGATCGTCCGCAGCTGGAATCGAACCTCTCACCCCAGAATCACGAAGCTTGTTGGCATCGCTTAGGCTGGAAACGTCGATTATACAGATTTAAAAATCAAACAATTTAGACCACTACATAAACAGAAGCCATGTTGAGTGATTGGGTTGATCCACGGCCAACTTATACAGGGGGCATAAGTCAATAATGAATACGTTAAAAAATGATATTTATTGATTACAGTTCTTACGTTACAATTACTCTTGTGGAAGTAATGTGAGCAATTTCACAGTAAAGCTAGCAGCTG